ATCGCCAGCGACTATGTGGACGGATCATCCTTCCACGCCGACCGCAAGGAAAGAGAGAAGGAGAAGAGAGAACAAGAACGCCTGGAGAAGGAGAAGCTGCAGCAGCAGAAATATACGTGAGTAGGACAAAACACACCCATAGTGCTGGTGTGGGTATCAAACTGATCGTTTTCATTTCAGCATAGCAAAGTCTCAGAGCTGGACAATGTAGTTAAAATTATTCTAGTATATTCCAGCAGTAGTAAAAGAAAAAAAAAAAGGTTTAAAAAACATTTAGTATACAGTGAAAGAGAGCTGTGCGTGCAGCAAGTACTGTACAGCCGGAGGTGCAGGGAACTGAAAGATAAAAAAATATACGATTTAACCATGTTTTTTTCCCAACATGATGAGCTGCGTGTTTTGCTCAGTGCTTAGAGACTCATGAAAAGATAGAACGATCCAAAAGATTAATTAAAAATAGCTTTGTGTACTAATGAGTGATCAGTGTTGGGGATGTGTCAGAGTACTTGCATTATTTTTTGTTGTAACATGTTATGTGTTAGTCTCAAGTAATCTGTTGTTAGTTACATTTTTAAATAAGCTATCCGTCACTGTTTGCAGTAGTTCCCTGTTCCTTTGTTGCCACAAAAAAAGGACACCCCCTTCAGATTTGCTCCGTCTCTTTCCTGCTTCTTGGAGAACAGCTGCTGCTAGTGAAGTTATCCAATCCTACGGTTGTGTCAGCGCTCATCTGTATTTCAGCTAGCGAGAAGGCAGCGAGGACTGCCTTTACGTTGTGGAAGTCAGTAACTAAGCATTGACCTAGTTGAGTGGTTACTGGTTGAAACAGGAGATACTGTCTGTTATATAAGTATTGTGTTATTTTTATAGAGGCAGCTGTGTTAATATGCCTCTGCAGTTCGCTGTCAGGTCGTCAGCAGCCAAAAAGCTACACAGGTGCCCTCGGGTACTATTTACTTTCATGAATTGCAAAAAACTACATGTTGTATTAACTTGTTGGGGTACACAAAAATAATGTTTTTTTTCCTCAAGGTGTTTTGCATTAAAATGCAGCTGTGAGCAGAGCCTGTTAGGAAAGAGTCATCCACTTGTAGACCAGACAGATTTGGGAAAACCAGCCTCAAGCTCTGAAGAAGGCACAGTGTTAAATGTCAGCTGATGGAGTAAAGCTCGAGCTGCATGTTTGTGCTCCTGCTTTTTGAGACTCTTTAATACTTGTTGTGTTCTTTGTCAATCGCAAACCCCAGTCCTGCTCTGGAAAATTGTCTTAAACAACAGTGTAATGTACAATCATCACCCCCCCAGCATTATTTCTGTCCCTGACTCAAGGTCTGTTGCTCTCTCAGGTTGGTGGAAGATTCAGATAATTCAGAATCTCCTCCCAAGAAGCGCAGCCGGAAGAAGAAAAAGAAAAACAAGAACAGAGACAGGTGAGAAAATAAAACTCGATAAGAGCAGAAAAGCTCCTGACGGTGAAGAAAGTGTCTGACTGTTATTTGTTCCTTCTGTCAGCAGCTCAGAGAGTTGCTCCCCGTCTCCCCGACGAGAGAAGAAGAAATCCAAAAAGAAGAAAAAGAAACGGTATCCCATCACGGGGTTCTTGTCTTACGTTTCATTTAATCATTTCACTTATTCACTGATTATTGACTGGAAAATGTGTTTTTCAGTGAGTCATCAGAAGACGAGGAAGAAGACGACAGGTAGGTGTTTCTCTCAATCTGTCCTCAAGAACAATCAGCAGAGCATTGTTGCACAGTTCAAACTGTAAATAGAAAAGTTTAATGGAAAGACACTGAGTTTTTCTTGAATAAAATATATATTGTAAATCTGCTTTTACTACATTCCTAACAAACCAGTGATCATTTGTAGTATTTGAGGAGTTCTGAATGAATGGGATTATGCGCAGCTTCATGTGTACATTTCTGTCACCCACTCGCAGTTCCTCAGATGAGAAGCAGAAGGTCTCAGAGAATAAAGAAAGAAGAGTGAAAGTTTGAGTCCTCCAAAAGCAAAAGCAGCACGGCACAGGAGTGTCTCCTCCAGCTCTGCTCACAGGTATGACGGTGATGATGAAAATATTTATTTCATTGAGAATCTGCATTCTGTTTATCCTTTAAACGGAGACTATTGTTACTGCTGGAGCAGATTGTGGCCCTTGTATTCCATCCTTTTAAGGCAGCCAGATGGGCCACAGTGTGTTTCACCTCTGCTTCGTGGAGAAAACACAGCTCGTCTGTTTTTAACAGAAGGCGTGTCGAAAAGCACAAAGTAGGCAGGAAATAAGACACAGCATGGAGAATCCTGTCAATATTTTGATCCTATATTAGTAATATACACAAGTAAAACAGACCAAAAAATTTAACTATGTAATCTACTTACCCACGGTAGAAACACAAAAACAAACATCATCATGAAACAAATCTCTCCGCTGGGGTATGAAGCCATGCAGAGGACGGAGGCAGACGCGCTTCCCTGTAGAATCGAGGTTAGCACAATTGAACAACAATCTCCAGCACTAGCTCAGCCAGCTCTTTAACTGGCAAAGAAGTTCATAATCTTTCATTAATAACGTTCATCAAATGTATTTCTATACTTCAGAACATGTAGACCAACTTCTGTCATTTAGCCCCCACTCTGTGAAAGCAGTCTGTCCAGTTGGGACGGCTATAAACACTTTTTGGATGGCACTTTGTACACACTAGTTTTGGGCAAGTCAAAAATCAATTTTCCAGAGAGAAGCGTCTCAGTAATGTGCATTTATTTTTTCCTATGATGTCATCAGCCAGTCTCCGGCTCCAGTGAGATCACGTCAGCAGGACCAAACCGCGAGAAAAGCTGATGAAGGTAGAAAAGGGAGATCGCCAGACAGGAGGAGACGAGGCTATGAGGAGCACAGCCCACATCATCAGGGAGGCGAAGGGGTGAGGATGTTGCACTAAACACTTTCAGAAACTTTCATTAGGATATGTTTTCTTTTGCTTATAGGATCCTAAACTAATCTTTAACTGTTATATTTGATCCTGTATCTGTATTTTACTCTATTGTGAACTTAAAATTGTGTGTAAAATAACACCAGCAAATCTTTTTTCTGTCATTTTAGAAGAGGCCCAATCTTGAGAGAGAAAAAGAGCGACTGAGTGAGGTGGAGAAGACCTCCGCCAAGAGGAGACATGACTCTTCATCCCCTTCTCCACCACCACAGACAGGAAAAATCATGGAGAGGGAGAAAGGGACGAGGTCCAGAAGCAAACAGAAGGAGAGTGTGGAAGGGAGGCGCTCAAGAAGCAGAGAGGTGGAGAAAAGGAGGCGTTCAAGGAGCATAGAAAACGAGAGGGAGAAAGGGAGGCGTTCACGAAGCAAAGAAAAGGAGAGAGAGAGGGTAAAGCGATCCAGAAGCAGAGAGATGGATAAAGGAAGGCGATCGAGGAGCAGAGAAATGGGAAAAGGGAGGCGTTCAAGGAGCAGAGAAAACGAGAGGCAGAGAGGGAGGCGCTCCAGAAGCAGAGAGATGGAGAAAGGGAGGCGTTCAAGGAGCAGAGACGTGGAGAGAGGGAGGCGTTCAAGGAGCAGAGACGTGGAGAGAGGGAGGCGCTCCAGAAGCAGAGAGATGGAGAAAGGGAGGCGGTCAAGGAGCAGAGAAAATGAGAGGCAGAGAGGGAGGCGTTCGAGGAGCAGAGAGATGGAGAAAGGGAGGCGTTCCAGGAGCAGAGAAGTGGTTAAAGGGAGGCGTTCGAGGAGCAGAGAAGTGGTTAAAGGGAGGCGTTCGAGGAGCAGAGACGTGGTTAAAGGGAGGCGTTCGAGGAGCAGAGACGTGGTTAAAGGGAGGCGTTCGAGGAGCAGAGACGTGGAGAAAGGGAGGCGTTCCAGGAGCAGAGACGTGGAGAAAGGGAGGCGTTCCAGGAGCAGAGACGTGGAGAAAGGGAGGCGTTCCAGGAGCAGAGACGTGGAGAAAGGGAGGCGTTCAAGGAGCATAGAAAAGAGGGAGAGAGGAAAGGAGAGTGTTCCTCAGAGGACCCGACATGACTCGTCCTCGTCCTCCTCCTCCTCCTCCTCCTCGTCCTCTTCATCTCCTTCTCCTCCACCTAAACAGGAGACTAGGATTGAAAAGAGCAGAGACACTGAGCGGGAGAAAGATAGGAATAATCAGGACAAAAAGATAAGACATGACTCCTCATCTCCCTCTCCTCCCCTGAGAAGGAGAGGAGTGGAGAGAGGGAGCGCAGGACCGAGAGAGATCTGCTGTCGAGGCCACCAAATGAAAGGGACAACAGGAAAGACACCGGAAGGAGACAGGAGAGAGAGACATCTCCTTCCCAACAGAAAAATGACAGAAGAAGAGATCCCCCGTCACCGGCCTCCCGATCACCCGTCACCAACGGGCGCCAAAGGGAGGAGGAGAGGAGGAGAGACCAGGACAGGGAGAGCACCAAAGAGAGGGAGAGGCATCTGAACAAGCAGAGCGAACAAGACAGAGAGCGAGGTCAGGAAGGCGGCAGAAAGAGAGACGAGGGTGCGGAGAAAGGCAGAAGAGCGGAGATAAACAAGAGCCAGGAGAAGACGAGAAGCCCTCCGAGGAAGGAGAAACCGGCCGAGAAGAGAAGAGAGAGCAGCAGCAGCAGTGGTAGCAGCAGCAGCAGTAGCAGCAGCAGCAGCGGTAGTGACAGTGACAGCTCCTCGTCCTCCTCGTCATCTTCATCTTCCTCTTCGTCCTCATCCTCTGAAGATGAGGGCAAGCCGAAGGAGGCGGGGTCAGCAGGGAAAGAAAAAGGTGCACCGTCCGTTATTGGGGCTGCCGTTCAGAGGTATATAGCCAACGGTAAAAAGGAAAGCCCGGCCTCTGCTCCAGAGAGCGACGGACCTCGACGAGTCCAGAAGGAGAGAGAAGCCGGAGGAGACAAACATGAGAGGGAGAGACCGCCTCACAGAGCTCCCGCAGAGAGTTACCCGTCCCGGACAAAAGGTCAGGAGCGATACAGCCCCACACAGATGGACAGCCCCAGTCCGCCTCCTTCCCCGTCCAACAGAGCGGACGGCAGCAGAAGCAGCAACAGGAACGCCTCCCCCCCTCCGGTCAAAGCAGAGAGAACCAGGGTGGAGGTGAAAGTCGGGGAAAGGGACAGAGGGAGGGAGAGGGAGGCACCCAGGAGGCCGGTGAGGTCTAGCCCTCCAGCCAGGAGGTCGCGCTCTCCGCCCCAGAAAACCTCCATCTCCTCCCCGGCCCGTAGAACTCCACCGAGGCAGTATCAGGAACCGCTGCCGCGATCCAGGAGAGCTTCTCCTCCTCCGGCCTGGTCAGACCGGGAGAGAGAGAGGCAGCGGGACAGAGAGAAGGAGAGGAACAGGGAGAGGGAGAAGGACAGAGAACGCGAGCGGATCGCCAGGAGAAGCAGGTCCAGAAGCCCGAGGAGGCGAAGCCCCCCCGGCAGGTAACAGGAGAACGTACACATGCTGGTCTCTGCTGTCTTAACACCTGTCCCCCTTAAAGACGGCCATGTCTGAGTCAGGGCTGCGAAGATTAATAGAATCACTTATTAGCTGTTAACTATGAAATTAATTAAAAACTGTTTTGATAATTGGGGATTAACTGGGTTATTGACAAAATGAGACATTTGAGAGCGTCCTCTCCGGCTTTGGGAAACACTGATCGACAGGGTTTTTTTTGCAGTTTGCTGACATTTTAGAGTAAACTAGTCTATAAAATAGACTGAATATAGTTTCAGCCATAGTCCGAGTTAGAGTAAATGGGGCGAATTTTATGAAACGATGGTTTGGCCTTCACAACTGTAACCTGTTGGGGGCCCTTAATGCCACATGGAAGTGGTAAAAAAAAATTTAAACCTTCAGTAAATATCACTTACATTTACTGACCTTTTAATATTGCAAGAAGCTACAAAAGGGAAAAAAAAGTAAAACCTATATTTCAATGTTTCTTTAAACGACAGTTGTTTTTTTTCTGTTTAAACGAGTTTAGCATTTTGCACCTTAGACGAAAAACTTTTTTACGTCAATACATAAACGTATTTATTTATGAATGCTGGATGTATTTAGGTAGACAGACAACTTATAAGATAAAAAAAATGTTTCTTGTGTTTTTAAATATACAGGTGCTGGTCATATAATTAGAATATCATCAAAAAGTTGATTTATTTCAGTAATTCCATTCAGAAAGTGAAACTTGTATAATGTATATGATTAATTCCACACAGACTGATATATTTCAAGTGTTCATTCCTTTTAATTTTGATGATTATAACTGACAACTAATAAAAACCCCAAAATCAGTATCTCAGAAAATTAGAATATTGTGAAAAGGTTCAATATTGAAGACACCTGGTGCCACACTCTAATCAGCTAATTAACCCAAAACACCTGCAAAGGCCTTTAAATGGTCTCTCAGTCTAGTTCTGTAGGCTACATAATCATGGGGAAGACTGCTGACTTGACAGCTGTCCAAAAGACGACCATTGACACCTTGCACAAGGAGGGTCATTGCTAAAGAGGCTGGCTGTTCACAGAGCTCTGTGTCCAAGCACATTAATAGAGAGGCGAAGGGAAGGAAAAGATGTGGTAGAAAAGTGTACAAGCAATAGGGATAACTGCACCCTGGAGAGGATTGTGAAACAAAACCCCTTCAAAAATGTGGGGGAGATTCACAAAGAGTGGACTGCAGCTGGAGTCAGTGCTTCAAGAACCACCACGCACAGACGTATGCAAGACATGGTTTTCAGCTGTCGCCTTCCTTGTGTCAAGCCACTCTTGAACACGACACAGCGTCAAAAGCGTCTTGTCTGGGCTAAAGACAAAAAGGACTGGACTGCTGCTGAGTGGTCCAAAGTTATGTTCTCTGATGAAAGTAAATTTTGCATTTCCTTTGGAAATCAAGGTCCCAGAGTCTGGAGGAAGAGAGGAGAGGCACAGAATCCACGTTGCTTGAAGTCCAGTGTAAAGTTTCCACAGTCAGTGATGGTTTGGGTGTCATGTCATCTGCTGGTGTTGGTCCACTGTGTTTTCTGAGGTCAAAGGTCAACGTAGCCGTCTACCAGGAAGTTATAGAGCACTTCATGCTTCCAGCTGCTGACCAACTTTATGGAGATGCAGATTTCATTTTCCAACAGGACTTGGCACCTGCACACTGTGCCAAAGCTACCAGTACCTGGTTTAAGGACCATGGTATCCCTGTTCTTAATTGGCCAGAAAACTCAAAAGTGGGGCGGCTGTGGCTCATTGCATTTCGCAAGTGTCCTTGGGCAAGATACTGAACACCGAATTGCCCCTGGCGGCTGTTCCGCGTGTGTATGAATGTGCGTGAATGTTAGTTTCTGTTTGAGCACTTAGGCTCAGTGAGTGAGTGAATGGTGAATGGGCGCTATACAAGTACAGAGCATTTTTATAAACTCGCCTGACCTTAACCCTATAGAAAATCTATGGGGTATTGTGAAGAAGAAGATGCGATACGCCAGACCCAACAATGCAGAAGAGCTGAAGGCCACTATCAGAGCAACCTGGGCTCTTATAACACTTGAGCAGTGCCACAGACTGATGGACTCCATGCCACGCCGCATTGCTGCAGTAATTCAGAAAGAAGGAGCCCCAACTAAGTATTGAGTGCTGTACATGCTCATACTTTTCATTTGGCCAACATTTCTAAAAATCCTTTTTTTGTATTGGTCTTAAGTAATATTCAGATTTGCGGAGATACTGAATTTGGGATTTTCAATATATCAGTCTGTGTGTAATGAAGGATTATAATATCCAAGTTTCACTTTTTTAATGGAATTACTGAAATAAATCAACTTTTTGATGATGATCTAATTATATGACCAGCACCTGTATATGCGAAGATAAAAATAAAGTTATGAGGAGCATCGATTTTATTTTTTTTAGAAACAAAGATTGTAGATCATTGATTAAGTCCTAGATGTTAACAACATTATCATTTACTGATTCCATAAGGGCAAATTTTAATGGCTGAACTGAAAAGTATATTTTCCTCCTCCCAGGTCCCGCCGCTCTCCTCCACAGCGAAGGAGGAGCAGCCGCTCCCTCTCCAGAGAAAGAGCGAGAGAAAGGGAACAAGAGAGGATTCGGCAGAGGGAGGTAGAACAAGAGAGACAAAGGGAGAAAGAGCGCCTGCACCAAAAAGATGTTCCCCAACCCCGCAGGTCCTCGTCATCCTCATCCTCCTCCAGCTCCTCCTCTTCCTCCTCGTCCTCACCTTCACCTCCCCCAGAGAGGAAAGACACAAAAGCACTTCCAGAGAGAGACAGAAGAACCGAGCGAGAGGACGAGAAGAGAGAAGACCGAGAGCAGAAAAGTCGTTCCTCTTCTTCTCAGGGCCCTTCCAGACCCGCATCTCACGTTCCAACCTCAGGTAGAGGAGGCTCCCAGGCGGACCCCAGGCGCCATGACGTGGCCCCCAGAAGGTCTCCGGCTGGTGGCCAACCAGAAACCAAACATGTGTCACCAGCGGCACCCCCTCAACCGTCACACCAAACGGTGAACGGGAAGGAGGCAAATGCAAACAAGAAAGCCAACAGGAGTAGCAGCTCCAGCTCCTCTTCCTCATCGTCGTCGTCCTCTTCGTCCTCCTCTTCGTCCTCCTCTTCAGACAGTTCTGACTCTGAAGTTGAGCAAGGAAAAGGGTAAGCAGGAGACGGGGGAGAGTTGAGCTGTGTGAGATACATGAACACAAAGAACATTTTACTTTCTAATGATGAAATAATAAAACTTGTTCATCGTTAACTACTTAATATTTATTAATAATTTCCCTTTTTACTGTTTTCTTTTTCATAGGAAGACGGACAAAGCTCAGAGCTCTCCTTCCTCGTCTTCATCATCTGAGAATGAAAAGGAAATTAAGAAAAAGAGGTGAAAAGAACAGATAACTTGATCACTCACAAGGCGAAGCATTACTGATCAATTTCTGGTTTGTAAAGCTTGATTTATACTCCTGCGTAGGGTCTACGTGCGTAGCTACACCGAGGCTATGCTGTCGATTTGACACAGAAGTATAAATTGCACTTTCGTAACGCTGTCCGCACACTGGAGGATAATTGGGCAGATTCTGGGTCCGATTCACCTTCCTGACAATCGGGGTCGCTCCCTAGACGAGGCTGGTCTGGACAGATTATCGACCCTAATGATCCTCTAGTGTGGGTTACAGACAAAATCTCAAATTGTAAATCAGGGAGCCACTGATCAGAAACGCGCAACAGCCAACCTAGACTAGATCATCTGATGTGCGTTCTTAAGATCAAAATATAAAAAATCTGTTAATTCTGTCGCTATATCGGTGGTATCCCACGTCAACCGCACAAACCCACTCTTTTCCGCATTAAAGAAACATTTAACTCATGAAAACATTTTTCATATTGTTGCAGAATTGTGCAAAATTGAAAAAAATAGTTTCAAGTTTCACATGAGCATAAAGTTTTACAAAATATACGGCCCACGTGCCAGAACCGTCTGTGTGGGACGGCGTTGTGGAGGTGGGATGTACTGGGCGAGTCTGATGGCATATGGCACTAATGAGCCTCCTCAGCGCTTTGAGGCTCGGGGCTGGATCAGTCTGTAGCTGAAAGTGCTCCTGAGCTTCCTCAGCTCAGCATGGAGAGGATGAGTGATGTTATATCTGGCCCTTAAGACTGTTTGCTCATATAAAACCATGTGACCACAAAGTGGAAGTTAAATCTTTTATTTACATTGATCACATTTAAAACAAATTGATTGCTGAACTAGACCAAGGCGCAACAGTTGTATTGATGATACCAGCCCACACACAACCAGTGACAGTTATTTGTACAAAAGTTATGTTATTTGGATTTCCTCTTATTGAAAACAATTAACCACCTAACGATTTCATACTTGTTTTGATCTCAAGTCTTTAAAAACTAAATGTAAGATTCTTATGGATGTTTATGGGTTTATGTTAATAAATTATCAGCCGATTCATTATTATCAGATTTTTATTAGTCTGCCTGCTCTTGTGTTTTTGCTTTCTGACTCACTTAACATCCAGCTCAGTGTGACTGGATGGAAGAGCAGAGTTTTAAAAGGCACAAGGAATAATCTTTTTTTACTTTTTGAATTGGAGCACTTCTAGTAGGGCTGGGCAATAATACTAATGATGATTATCGCAATATATATAATATAGTTTTCCTCAATAACAATATAATAAATGTTCAATAAATATTTGGTTGAATTAATTTGTGTCATGGCCAAATTAGCACTCAATTTTTCTATTAAAATATTTATTTTGTTGAGGAAGAGGGACTGAAAAAAGATTTACTAATCATATTTGTTGAAAAAGATTTGATCATAATAGTTTTGAATGTTCTACCTCAGATTTGTGAAGTGATCCACTGTTTGGCATCAAGTGTTTATCACGTTCCGACCATAAAGAAAAGTTTAACCACAGAATTAACCATCTGGTTTCTTCAGTTTTCACTCAGGAGCAAAAATCAGCCTTTAAACTTGAAAGAAAAAATGATGTGACATATATCGTGATAATTATCGAATGAAATGTTTTTATCGCGATAACATTTTTGGCCCGATCGCCCAGCCCTAACTTTTGGTATATTTGTAGTCGTATTGATCGGCCATGAGTCAGCAGTTCTAATATCAGCAGCGTTTCACCATCATGCTGCTTTTTCCTACCTCATTGTTCAACATGTATTGAATTATAATGAAATCTTTTCTTTTTAACAATATAAATTTCTTTCGTACCAACTTGTTGTTTTGAGATTTTTGTGAAACTACACCGCACCAAAGCAGAGCTCTGCAGCAGTGTGCTGGTGTCTGATTGTGTTTTTCCTCACAGCCCTGCCAAGTCCGGGAGGGTGCCTGCTGATTCGCTGAGAGATTCTCGCTCACTCAGCTATTCTCCTCCAAGGTACATGAGAGCACCGTCGCCCTCGGCCCCTCGCAGGTCTGTAGCCACTGCGTGACATTTAAACAGGAAAGAGAGTGACAGCGCTTTAACTAGAAACCCATAGGACCCTTAACACGCATCTCCGCTGAATTTTACTGGTGAATTTATAGAAATGCCTGTATTTATTGGCGTTATCTTACTGTGGCAGCTTTTCGTCCTGGCATGTACCCAGATGTCTAGTCAGCGAACACTGCACTTTCTCCGGGGGTTTCCAGCTTTACTTATGGATGTCAAACTTTGTCATTAATAGATGACATAAAAATGTTGACAAATGTTTCAATACAAGAAGAAAGAAAGAAAATATGTAGAAAAAAAAGCCAGGCCTCTCATGTTTCTGCATCGTCCTAATTTCTAGCTATTCAATTAGACACTTGAGGGCATATAAACATACTGACTCCTGGGTAAAGTGTCTCGAACTGCTGCTCTTTTAATACACCTACAACACATTTCTCCATTTAAATGTATGTTAATCTCTTTATCCTACCTTGCACAGAACATGCGCTTGTTAAAATGTGCGATACAATTAAAGTAGCCCTAATTTATAAAAGCTCAGGGTGCACCAGCATCACTTGCTCACTGATGAACAGGACATTTAGTACTGAACTAACGATTATTTTTAATATCAAATAATCTGTTTATTATTTACTCTATTAATAGTTTAGTTTCTATAACTATAAACCGCGTCTCATCTGACAATAAATGTACGTTGTTCTCATAGACTGTATAAAAGAAATGGACGTAGTCATCGTGACGTCACCCGTTGGTTTGTGGACCACCGTGTTGAAGCCTCGAGTTTGGCCGATAGGGCGCCGCCATGTTGAGTTTTTGCAACCAGCGGCACCGGACTTGACCATATACGGACGAGGAGCTAACGGCCGTGTGCGGAGCTAGCTAGTTTGCTTAGCTAGGTGCATCTGTAAATGACCTTAACTGTCATTTTAACAGGGCTGATAACTTTGTCTAGCGAACAACCGGCTTAAAACTAAATGTACTCACCAGAGAAAGTGAACAGCCGACTCCTAATAAGCTTTTTTGACGGCGCTCGTTAAACTTAGTGTCGTGGGTACGATTCACTCTAGCCTGATTGACAGGTCATAATTTACTAAATGAACATCATGTTGTGTTGAAGAAGACTTGAAACTAGCGACTGAGACCGTAAACTCATCAGGAACGTGCTAAGAAGTAGCCTAATTTTACTATTATTTATAATTGAACCGGACTTCTTTTTGCAACCAGAAGAGTCGCCCCCTGCTGGCCGTTCAATAGAATGCAGGTATTATGGACTTTGTTGTTGACTTTGCATCTCAGACCGGAAGCTTCCTGCTTGGTTGTACCTTGTAAAATGTCCGCAAAATTGTGGAAAATGACTATCAGTTTTTCCCAAAGCCCAAGATGACGTCCTCAAATGTCTCGTTTTGTCCAAAGATATTCAGTTAACTGTCACAGAGGAGGAAAGAAACCAGAAAATATTCACATTTAAGAAGCTGAAATCAGTTAATTATCAAAATGGTTGGCGATTCATTTAATAGTTGACAACTAATTGATTAATTGTTGCAGCCCTATTATAAATGATGATTTTGTTTAACCTTCTGCCTCCCTGGTAGGAGCGGCAGCAGGCAGTCACCGGTCCGCTCGTCATGCGGCAGACGCAGGAAATGAGCTGAAAACCGGAGACTCTTCACTTCTTTTTTTTGTGTCGTTTCTCTGGTCGCCTCTGGCTGGTTTGAAATGGACTACAACACGGGCTCCACCGCCAGCGGTCAGTAGATATCCTGTGAACGTCAGGGGACTCCATTTTGGTTCAGAGCGACCACACAGTTATCAACAAAAGTGTTTGTTTTTTAAGCAACTACGACGACCAGAGGCTGGCTTGTACATTTCTTTTTATGAGCTGAATAAGAAGCATACACAGTTAAGTAAAACGTAACTCTAACAATGTTCCTCTGTACTTGTAATGTTTGTTGCGTTCTACCTGTAGATACGAGCTGTCTGTATTTTGGTTATCATGTAATAGATAATCCGATTTCCATTTAATGTGAGCAGAAACTGAAACGTGGGTAATTTCTTTGGTGAAAATGGTTAATGATAATAAAAGGCAATTGTACATTTTATTTGTGTGGAATTTGTCCATCTGGTTACTGTGTGACATAAAACCTTAAAGGATTGGTGATGTTTTATCTTGACAACATATAACTGGGTCACGTGTTCCTTCATCACCATGAACACGCGCACTGCAGTTTATTCTGACTCAGTCCCACAGACACCGTCCTGCTGCCCCAAACACTCACTAGAGCTCCACATGTGGATTCATCCGCCGCTGAAAGTAGTCCCCAACAAAAACACGATTTTCCTCCATTTGTTAAAAACTACTTGCCAGCTGGGAAACTTTTTAGTTGTGAGGTGTTTTTTTGAAGTTGTCTCTTCAGTGGGAACCTACAACGGAGTCTTAGGGCCATGTTAAGGGGGGAAAAAATTGAGGATTAAGATTTATTTTTATTTTGCAATTCTAGAATAAAGTGGAAACGAGTCATTTTGACTTTATTCTCGACATCTGGACTTTGTTCTTTACACTTAATTTGTAACATTTAGAACTTTATTCTCAACATTTTTTACTTTATTTTGATATTTCTACTTTGTTTCCAGTTTTGTTTTTTACTTTTATTCTGGTCTTTTTCTTTATTCTCGACACTCGACTTTATTCTCATCATTTTTTTACTTTATTCTTAATCTTTTGACTTTATTCTTGAACATTTGTTGGGCTTTATTGTCAACATTTTGACTATTCTAGACATGTTTTACTCATATTTTTGGTCTTCATGGGGGTTACAATAACAGAAATGTAGAATATCTAAAGGTATATTGGATTTTAATGTCAGTGTAAATAATGTATAGCTTAAATTATTTATTGAAACTGGCAGATACACAATGCTGTCAGTTAAATGTGAAAATCAGGTTTAAAAATCAGGTTGCTGCTCAACTGAGCCTCATGTATTATATTGTCTCCATCAGTACAGCAGAGAGAAGATTACAAAGCTTTGTAATTTGCTGAGTTCATTCCTCTAATCTTGTGCATGATTTAAGGAAGCAGAGTAACTAAAATGCACGTTATCTATCTAATAACATAATAAAAATATTATTAGATATATAACGTGCATTTTAGATTATTACAGTTTTCTTTGGGGTTTGTTCCAACACATCAGTTTACTCACTTTGAAACTGTGATAGTAATGTGTTTCTTTCTTGTCTAAGCATTTTTGTTTGAGGGGGTGGAAACGGGCCGTGGACAAAAAGATTACTCAACGTTAAGTGTGACCGGACGCCAGCTTTGGCTGCTGTTGTAATGCTGAAACTGGGATGGCGACATCAGTGTTAGGTGTGTCTTTACTGGTAGTTTAATTTCACACAAATCTTGGACAAAGGCAAAGCAGTTTTTTCATTACTATAGTATAATTTTTGTTTGTGAACTGAATCAGTTTTATTGGAAAGGAACTAGACTCGATTAGAAATGCTGTGGATCTTGTTCTTGTCTTGAGTTGATGTTTGCAACAACTTCATCAGCCCTTCATGACTTGTCCCCATCTAGAAATGCTGATACGCTACCACTAGAGTTCTCAAGAAATGATTCACTGACTTTTGCATATCACTGCACAAACTGCCACTTTGCACATATTCCTTATTATTTTTATATTTTTATGTATCTAGCTATATAAATACAAATCCTCTCCCCCTTTAATATGTTTGCACAACACAAATTCGGAGTAATGCACATTGTTTTATCTTTTACACTCGGTTATATTATTCTTTTATATTTTGCACATCTGTTTATTTAATATTTATATATATTTTTACACTTACTGATGTCAACTGTTTGTTTATGTCTGGCACCTAATCACCAGAGCAAATTCCTCATCTTTGTAAAATACTACATGGCAATAGGGCTGGTTGATATGGCCAAAAATCCTATCAGGATAAACAATTTCATATAATTCAATATTGATAATTATCACAATAAATGTCAAATCATTATTTCTTTCCAGTTGAAAGGCTGATTTTTGCTTCTGAGTGAAAGTTGAAGAAACCAGATGGTTAATTGTGGTTTTTAAACTTTTCTTTATGGTCAAAACAAACACTTGATGGAAAACAGTGGATCACTTAACAAATTTGAGGCAGAACATTCAAACCTTTTAAGATAAAAATCAGTAATAAATGAGTAATATTAAGTAAAAACTTTTTTCAGTCCCCGTTCCTCAAATTAAATATTAATTTGTTTGTGATTCAAACTAATTAAATGAACATTTGTTATATTGTTTTTGAGGAAAACTATGTCAAGAGAACAATCATTAGTGTTTTAATGCCCAGCCCTAATGTCAAGTATGAAATATGCATGAGCAAAGAAAGTAAAATCTTTATTTTTTTTAATCAAAACAACAAAATAAGTAAAAAAAATGTATTCGTGATTCAAATGAACTAAATCAAACTTTGTATATGGTTATTGAGGAAATTTTTATCATAATTATTATTGTTTTATTGTCAAGCCCTAACTTGTCAATAAAGCTCTTTCTGATTCACAACATTTGTCGACACTATAAAAAATAATTTCTGATTAGATGTAAACCATGTTGCCTTTTGTTTGGCGTTATCCTTACTGTTTGCGTAACCTTACATGAACCAAATAAGGTTTCTAAAAACGAAACAACCTAGTGGTGCAACCCTGCACAGCGTTTATACGGTGTAGGTTTTTCCCACATGACGCGAAGGCAGCATCAGATGATGAGAGTGGGTCATCAGCTGCAGACAGTCAGGTGTGGTCGGCGGGGAGACGTTCCGACCGGAGCGGTGATCTAGCGGACTCCACCGGGACGGGGACACACACACAACAAAGAAAAAACCCAACAACTTCCACCGCGGATCTGTAAACATGATCCACAGACAGAACAACAACAACAACATGGGCAAAGTAGGTGTTTTATAAATGTCTGCTTCAAAGTTTGTTTAAGGAGTGAGAAGTTTTCTGACGTCTTGGTGTGGAGGCAGGCAGGCAGGCCGGGGTCCAGGCCCGTCATTCCAGACTGGATACAAAAATCTGGAAGTTTAACAGTTGTCTCGCTTCCTAGCAGCGGTACGCGTATTATCACACATGAATTCACATTTTAACCATTTGTTATGTTCGCTTTGCTACTTCGGTTGAAGTAGACAGCGTTTCACTTACAAAACATTTTACTTATTTCGCTGTTTTCACACCACCACCAACGCGTGTTATTATAGAAGCGAAACCTTACGTTGCAGTTGAAATAAACTGCAGTTCTGCGGCCAGACGATCCCGCAAGTGTGTGCCGAATTGAAGAACGCCCTTTTATGTCGTTGTCCACATGTCCAAAATAACAATTTAAAGACGAAGCGTACAGTTATTACAGTTAATATCCGAAAAGTAAGAGATTTTCGGTGGAGGTTTGGCGCAACGTCCCCGTAAACCTAGAACGTGTCGGACAAGGTGAGTTGTTCGTCAGTGTCAAACGCAAACCTCGTTGCGTGAACTGCTCATCTATAACCAGACTAATAAAGGTTAGCCTCATTGCAGCTGCTCCTTTTGTAGACATCAATTTAATGTCGATCTCCCGTTGAACCCGTGGTGCTGGTAAACCAGTAGCGACGGATTAATGCCGTCTTGCGTTCGTAGGAATGTGACGCCAAACTACGTTCAAAATGTTGGCAAAACAAATGTGCTTCTCTGTCGCCAAGTGTTCCTACCCGATATTAAATGAATTAAGAACTTTTTCCTCAAACGGTCGCTATTGCACTTTAATTCGTCTGCTATAGATATACAAATATGCACTAAATTAAACTTGTAGTGAATGATTTGTTGAACCTCTCACACACACAGCAGACGAAATCTGTCTGTCAAATGTGATATTTTATTATAAATTTAGTTTGGGGGACTTAAACTAAGCCGAATTTAACAACGCCCGATACAAGACTCAACAAGATCTTGAATTGTCTTGTACATGGTGTTTACCTTTGCTGATGTGCAAATAATCATTAACTTTCAGGTTTTCCAAAACGGCGATGGTTGTGCCTGCCTTTGCACGCAGAAGATAAGTGTTAGGAGCTGGATTAGCTCGCATTAGTAAAGTCCCAATCATTACTTTCAAAGGCAGCGGCAGCCTTTCCTGTTTTCATGGAAAACGGTCCCAGTGTTAGCCAGCCAGACTCCACTGGTTTACTTCCCCATTTAGCTTCGTGCCAGTCGGGGAAAGGCTGTGACTTCCAGCTGCTGCTGTTGATGCCCAGCTAACCCAGCTAAGGTTTAGGACTTGGAAGGGGGAGGATAAAGCAGGATGGTGAAGATATATATATAGTGAGTCAGCTGTTGTTTGAGTAGCAGGGAGGGAGGTAAGGAGTGACACACTGTGCTCACACAGCAATCAAGAAATTATCTGACAGTCACAGTGGTGTAAGCTGCATGATTTGAAGTGATTTCTGTCTAACCTCTTTTTTTTGTTGTTGTTTCTCTGTCTTTGTTCAGCACCTTTTAAACCTGAGCTGAAGAAGCAAGAAGCGAGAGCCCTCCTCGTGTAATGAAACAGGGAACGGTTTACTTTTCATCCAACCACCAGACTGAACAACTGAAGTGAAATTTAAGGGATCACAATTTAAAGGAAACTCAGCGGCTGAAGCTCCTACTGAAGCGCAGCAACAAAAAAAAAGAGGAACGTCTCAGTTTCTTGCTTCTTCTTTTTTCTTTTTAAAAAAAGGGATAGAGTTGATGAGTGAGCGGTGGAGTAACCCTGGGAAATAACTGAATTCACGATCAAGTCGTCAAAAACCGCAAAAAGCCGAATCCCTCTCATCACAGAGCCTTTAGACGTGTGACGTTCAGTGTCTCAATGTGAAGACATTGCATTCGATGTTGGACTGCATCCAAAAGGAGAAAGGAGGGAGTGTCCACATTGCTGCACTGACAGAGCAGTGACTTTACAAAAAAAATCAATAAGTGAATGTTGGAAGTCCCCTTCAGGAGCGTCACTGGGTGGATCTGGAAATAAAGGTGAAGACATATGGGAATCATTTCCCCGCTGGCTGCTGTGGTTTCACTTTGAAACTTAAGAGAAAAACCTGTGAGCATTTGAACTGAAACTTAAAAAAGTGCAGAAATTCACCTGGAAATGTCCTCTTACTGTCACGGGAGTGCCTGTGATCTTTGGACAAACTCTTCTTCTGCTGCTGCTGCTGCTCTGAGCTCGTAGCATTGAGAGGTGGAGGAAAACACAAACACTGGGGGAGATAAGGAATATCACCTGTACTTTGGGAATTCAGTAAGACGCCGTCCAAATGGCGGGGAAAGACTACAATCATCTCTTTAAGCTGCTCATCATTGGAGACTCCAGTTAGTACATTTTTGATTCATTTAAGATTCATGTGAAGTCAAAGCATTGTTGTTTTATGGAGTCTCAGGAAGTGACAGATGGTGTTAAAAGGCAACCTGCTGGTGAAAACATAGCTTAAGTCAGTGGTAGTCAGTTGGGAAAGCTCATATATGCATCCCCCCCTCCAACATGTACATTTATTAATCGGCTTGTAACACTGGGAAAGTAGTTTTAAAAAAAAAAAAAAAACATTATTAAGGGCATGATGGTCTCACGCGTCTGGAAGTTGAACAAGACACAAAACAACTGCAGAGGCGATCGAACTACAAAAAAAAGGCCATTTGAGGGAGTCTGAAGTCGTCTCCAACGCGTAGTGGTGCAAGAAAATTAGGTCTGCTGTGGCGAACATGCGTTTTATTTTATGCAGATTAAATATTACCTACAAGAAACTGGTTGCATTGAATGAGTTATACAAAATGAGTTTGAACATAAACAGAAACGATACAACAGATATTTTACACAACTTACCACGCACACATCCACTGTTTACTGTGAAAATACTCTATTTAACTTTTACTTTCACTTAATACTCCTCCTTGGTTTCACATAAACCCCCCCCCCCACCACCATCTGTAGTCCCTGCGCAGGAAGACACAAACAATACAGGACAAAACTATCAATTAAAAGCAGTACAGTTGACACAATTCACAACAGTACATCACATATTAAACAACACCCTATGATTATATTAAATGTTCTCCATGCCAGATACAAACAAAATGAACACAGAGAGACACATTATATATTTTAGAGATGTATAATCTCAATATTAAAACAAAGACAAGTCACACATACTCCATTATTACTGCAGAGTACAATCTAATATACATGTTCTCTCAGCCAGTAACATGTTGTAGATAAAAGGAGCCTCAGCTGTATTTTTAGACCTGCTGCCGAAGTCCTCAGCAAATTATTTCTGTACAGTGATTTGATTTCAGTTTAGCTTAACCGTCCAGCCCACCATATTGTAAACACTGTGTGTTGTAAGAACCAGCGTACAGTGTGGAAACACCTCTGAAGAGACGGCTTCAGGAAGCTTTGTTCTTTATTTTCCCAACAAGTTTACAGTTTTCTTACATTTGGAAGTGGCTCCAGTACAGAACTGGTTCTCATTACTCAACCCTGATCACAGCCTTGTTTTACTCTTCACTTGTTTGTTTGTGTTCAAGGTGAATTCCTTGTGCTTTCATCATCAGGCTTTACGTGGAACAGTTTTGCCATGTTTCCTTGAAGAATATTTGAAATAATTCCACTTCTGTTTGACTGAGTTGGCAGGACCAGTTTTCTGCCTGTAGTAGGGTGGTAGTGCTGTAACTAACGGTTATTGTAGATTATTTTCTCGAGTAATCGATTAGTTGTTTGGTCCAGAAAAGGGCGAAAAATGTTGATCAGTGTTTCCCAAAGCCCAAGATGACGTTCTCGAATGTCTTGTTTTGTCCACAAACCCCAAGATATTCATTTTGCTGCCACAGAGGAGGAAAGACACCAGGAAATAGTCACATTTAAGAAGCTGGAATCATCGATTTACTGCAGTTTTATACTTTTTATTTTCCTCTTCGGTTACACAGATATGTAAAATGTTGTGATAGTTGAGAGAGGTACTGTTATTTCCCAGCATGCTGCTCCTTCATTTTGTTAATCAAGTCTGTTTCAGAACAAGTTGCCACTGGTTCTCTCAGGGAAATCTTTATTTAGGGAATAATAGTCTCTTGTTAGTCACACAGTTCATTTATTTCCAGTGTGAGTTCAACCTCTGCCCTCGTTTCTTGCTTTGTTTCGCTTTTGTCACCCTGCCCCTCCATAGATATATGACACGGCTGGAAGGCGGCGGTCGTGCTCTCGTCTTACCTACACATAACTGTCTCGTCTCTTCCCGATTGGTCACATTTATTTCCTCAAAGCGAGTTACTAATCTCGTCCCTCTGATCTGTTTCTTTCTCAGATGTGGGGAAAAGCAGCCTCCTGCTCCGCTTTGCAGACAACTCCTTCTCTGGTGAGTTACCGCACTTTTGCTGCAAGTCAAACGCTTCAATACTTGAGGCTCGTCTTTATCAAGGCGTCCCCGGGTAGAAACCAGTCCTCAGTGACGCACATTAGGCTCCACTTTTAGGCAGAGAGGTAAAAACATTTTATCAAGTCAAGTCATCTCCTTCAGGGTTAAGCTGAGCTGTCCCAACATGTCAGGAGCTACAGAGGGAGGCAAACGTTTGGGGGACATAGTGGAAGGTGGAAGCTTTTGGTTTGAATAACCAGGGTATAAACAAAGTCTTCAGTTTCCTATTCTAAAAACAAGGCCCTACATTTAGTTTACAAAGGGTCTTAAAGTTTTTCTTGTCCTTTCATAGGATTAAATAAATGTTGTTACGTCATAAATAAACATTTTTGTGTGTGTGACTTTACAATTTACTAGTTTTTGGTGTGACGTGGATGTTGGACGGCGGTACACTAACGTTACTGTTTACGTCGGTGTTTGGCTGTTACAAAAACAAATCAAAATGCTTTGAGAAAGGTGTATTTGCACAATGAGAAAACACGCAATGCAATGTAAATATAGAAGAAACAAATGTGCATCGTCCAAAACAAGTAACTTAAGCTTAAAAACCATCTGCTGATTACTGCATTATAATCTGTTTGAATTGACAATTCTGCCATAAATTGCTGCAGAAAATGTCCAGATGTCCCCCAGATCCCCAATTTATATATTTCAGCATTGAATATTTCATCAAAATAGTGTTAAAATATCTTCTTCTCTTGTTCTGGTGAACCAAATATTGTGTATCGTCACACCCCTAATCTGAACCCCTACGTCTCCACACTGTTATCACAGTACAAACACACCCCAAAAAGACAGAGTGTACTAAATGTGAACGTGAGTATTATAATAAAATGTTTTATTAAATTCATGTAACTTTGGAAATAATTATTTTCTCTGGATTAAAATTCATACAGATTTTCCATTATACGTTAGTGAAATTGGCATTAAATTTCCTCCTGGGTGGTATTAAAAAAGTCTGGGGGATTAAATAACTGAGACGTAATCGCTTCATCTAGAAAACTTTGCACACTTCGTGCTACTTCAACATAAAAGCCCTGCATACCACTCAGGTGCTCTCAGTTATCGTGGCTCATTGCTTTAGTTGAAGGTGAGTGGACACGCTACACTGGGAAGTAGTAGTAGTAATAATAATATCTATTGATAATTGTCAAAATAAATGTCAAATCATTATTTCTTTCAAGTTTAAAGGGTGATTTTTAAACCTTTCTTTATGGTCAGAACAAACACTTGATGCCAAACAGTGGATCATTTCACAAATCTGAGGCAGAACATTCAAATCTATTATGATAAAATCGTTTATCAATAAATATGCACAAGTAAAATTAAGCAAAATCTCTCAACAAAATAAATATTGAATTGAATAATTATTCAAAATGAATTAAATCAAACATTTTTAATATGGAGATACTTACACAGTCCAGGTAATTTAAATACAAAATCAACTTATTATAAATCTTTGTTTATCCTGAAGTGAATGTTTTGAACGTGAAGGTTAGTTAGGAACATTTTACCTTGGTATTGCCTTTGCTAAGATCTGCGGTTTGATTTTAAGCACATCCCACAGTGTCTTTGAACGTCTGTGTCTTTAGTGGAAGTCAAAGTGACTGTATGTGTGTTTGCCATGTGAAAATGTAGGTTCAAAATGTAAACCGTTAAAGTTGACAACAGACAGTCTGGGTATAACTTTTAATGGTCTCTTGTTTTGTCATCCAAAACAAATAAAACGGGTGGTTGTTTACCGTCTGTGAGATCATCTGATCGAAATGACAAACATGAAAACCAAGTTGTACCAAAAACAACAAAAAATTCCCAAGATGGCATCCGTCTGTCAGGATTTTGATCTGATGTAGATGTAGAAACTTGTATCTGCTGTCGTTGTCGCGAGCCACGGGTCGACGCCTGCACACAGATAATTCTGATGTTTGATGGTTCGCCGGTCCTGCAGGCAGCTACATCACCACCATCGGCGTCGACTTTAAGATCCGAACAGTAGACATCGATGGAGAGCGGGTTAAGCTGCAGATCTGGGACACGGCGGGGCAGGAGAGATTCAGAACCATCACATCAACGTAATAATCGCCACACAGATATGTTCTCGACCTTTCACTCTGGCTGGTGGTGCGCCGCTCACCTTATCCCGTTTCATCCTCCTTTCTCCAGGTACTACAGAAACACCCACGGTGTCATCATTGTTTACGACGTGACAAACCCAGAGTCGTTTGTGAATGTTAAGAGGTGGTTAAATGAAATCTCCCAGAACTGCGACAGCGTCTGCAAGATCCTGGGTGAGTCAAGTGAAAACCGAAGCCGCTTTTTCAAAACTCTTCATATAAAACTCCATCTTCAGCACAGTTTCATGTAATACAGTTCATTTCTGTTTAGCTTTCTTATGATTGTATTGTATATCCACTGTGTATTGTAGCAGAAGGAATTTATTTTTCCAAACCCTGCGGTAACATGACAATTAAATTACCTTGAATCCTCGAACACTTCAAAATAAGCTCGTCTCACTCAGAAAGCACCATGTCACTTGTAAGAACACACTAACAACAGGGAGCGTGACATAAACTTATGAACTTTTATCTTGGAATATTTATCTTTTTATTGTAGAATAGAATTCACTTTATTGACTGTACTAAATATATGTAACAAGAATGAGTCTTAATGCAGCAATTTGCTTCATTATGCTTAATTTGTTGGATATATTTGCATGTAGTAACTGTGAAAAATAAATAGTTTCAAATTCCTGAAATTCCAGGTCTGCAATAATAAGAATTAAAAACAACATCAGCAACATGTATAGTAGTGTTGTAGTACTTAAGACCCCTTTTTGATGGTCTTGGTGTCGTCTCGGACTCGGTCTTGTCCCGGTCATTGAGAAATAGGGATTTTATTTCAAGACCATAACTTTGGGAATATCAATAAATAGCTTTTGCATCGTCTGACCAACTAAACGTGATGTTAGAAGAAGCATGATTTCATCTTGTGGTGGAGTTTTGTTAAAGTTAGCGGTTGTACAGTCTCACTGTTCTGCTAACGGGGAACAGGGACTTTTTAAGATCCAGGAACCAAAACTAAAACAAGGTTTGTGTAGTTGAAATATAAATAAAGTTCCTGGAAATGTTTCTGCTGAGGGAAAATAGGGGCTTCTTGTGTGATTCAACCTGTTTATTTACATGGAAGAAATCTTAGTGCTCATGTATAAAACTGTAGTGTAAACACTTTTTGGAGTGGAGGTCTGTAGCACCAAAGCGTTAAAGTAAATACTTACTAGGAGGGTAAATTCATTGTTGGTTTTAGTCTTTTCTTGAAATTGTACCGGTCCTGAAACAGTAGATAAAGAAAAATATGTTTTTTCCCCGCTCACTCTCTCAGTGGGAAACAAAAATGACGACCCTGCCAGGAAACAGGTGGATACTCAGGACGCTGTGCGTTTTGGGGAGTCGATGGGGGTTCGGGTGTTCGAGACCAGTGCCAAAGAGAACATAAACGTAGAAGAGGTAACTTTAAATCAATGTTTTCATCGTTTGCTGGTAATGTTACTGACTTCTGCTAATGTTGTCATATTCAGATGCCTTGTTTTGTGTGACCAACAATTCAAACCTCCAAACTTTTCACTTTACTTTTTATTGAAAACTTTTTTAAAAATGGCAAATACTCCATAATATGTCACAACTAGTGAATTGGTGGCATTTTAACTTTAAAAAATGACTCAAGCGTAGGGCCGTGCGATGTGACTAAAATCTAGGTCATTTCAACTTCCGATAACGATACACATCAAGATAGAGAACTTTTTTTTTTTTTACTTTTCTCTGCATCTTAAAGGTGGGGTAAGCGATTCTGGATAAATCCAATAACATATCAAATACAATGCAACGAAACAGCAAGTAATATAACTTGTTAGCTCGGTTGTGGGTTAGCAAACTGTCGCTACTAACAAGCCAAGATGAGGGCGGACGAGAAGGTCCCAGAGCAGCACAGCATCTCCAGACTGCGATACTCACAGCAGACGTTTCTCTTCGGTACGACCTCCGATTTTACTTGTACACTGCAAAAACTGAGCTCTCAAAAACAAGGGGAAAAGCATCAAAATGAGGGAAATATTACTTAAAATAAGCAAAATTATCTGCCAACAGAAACAAGTGAAATTCTCTAACATAAAAGCCGCCTGGTAAGACAAAAAACAAGCATATTTTGCCTTCAATTAAGATAATTAATCTTACTAAGATTTTAGTTTTTGCAGTGTAAGGTCCTCCTGTTCAGTATCAACTTACACATTTGTTGTTTGTTTATTCTAAATGCAGATTTCTTCCCTGCAACACCGGCATGTGTGGAAGAACAGACTGCAGTGAAGTTAGTTTTAAGTTGGACGTTTTAAGTTTAAGTAAAGCGCAAAGCGTCGTCCCCTCCTAAAGTGTTTGAATTCGCGACACAACGGAATAAACAATAAAGCATAATTTTAAACGATAGATGTCGTCACATCGCACGGCCCTGCTCAAGCGAGTCATCAATTATTCACAAGAGTCGCAGATTATTGTTCTGACTAATGACTCTGAAGTCTCATCGTTGTTTGCTCTACTCTGCGCAGATGTTCATGGCCTTCACACTCATGGTGCTCCGGGCCAAGAAGCAGAGCCAGAACCGAGCCGAGAGGGAACGAGAGCGGGAGAAGGACACCGTCAACATCAACGCCCACAGGGACCGAGACCGCAGGAAGAGAGGGAAGAAATGCTGTTGAGAAGAGACGGACGGACGGACAAAACCACTTATCGCTCATCGCTTGCACAAACAAAAAGCATTGAAACAAGATTGGGAAAACCGTGCCTTAGGAGATGCAGATAAGAATGTTTGAAACTCTTTACTATGCCAAGTTACGACACAACAGGCTTCAGGTCCGTCTGCGTAACTGGGCCGGTTGTGAATGGAACTGAGGCAGAGGGATTTACAGTCTGCGAGCACTGACGGCGTGTAGCAGCCGGGAGGATACACGAGTTAAAGGATCATTCTGGTGATTTGGATTTTCTTTTGTCCATTTACTATAAATCACATTCAAAGCGTGGTGTGATTCTTCAGACGGACATTGTTTGTCGTCCTTCCAAGACATCTCTGTAGCTAGAGGATGAACCCCAATATCTTCAGTGACCCTTGACCTTTTTATTAGTGCCAACATGAGGAAAATACAACAAATCTATCAGGCAAGTTGTTGTGAAATTAAAGCACATTCACATACACTTCACGACCGTCCAGCCCAAATATCTACTCTAAGGGTCCATAAAGAACTTTGTTTTCTATTATCTATTAATCTAATACTTTCAGGATTAAACATTTATTAATCTGTAATTGTCTGTAAAACATAAGAAAAAAACTTGTCACAGTTTCCAAGAAGCCAAGTCGATGCCGTCACGTCTTGTTTGTTTGATCAACAGTCCAAAACCCAAAGACATGTTTGGATCAAAACATTTCAGTTTCCACAAGTTCCTCTCCAGCCTGACATGAAATGTGTGGATATTTATGCGTGTCCTGATAGTTTTGGCGACCTCCAACCTTTCTTAAAATCATAAAATTTATTGGGCCGATGCCATAAATTTAGAGCGTCTCTTAATCTTTCAGGACAAACTTCACATTTTTTGCACAACTTTCAGCTGTCTTCTTGGAAATGTGCTTTTCGTCCCATCCAGCCAGTTCCCGCTGAAGACGTTGACATGTGGCTCGAGACAATCCATCGCACCGTTCTGCTAAAAGTGAAAAGCCTGCGCTTCATTTCCACAAACAAGAAACATATCTGGAAAAAGTCAGAGCAGACATGATGCAACATAACTTAGTTACCTTTTTAAAATCTCTGCAAGTTGATTTTACTGATAGAAATAGAAATAACTGTAAGGGTTAATACAATCTGCTTTAAAGTGGGGCGGTGTGATATAAAGTGTATGTGATTGTGATGAATGAGCTAAAACATACTGAAACACTGAGATGATCCTTTAACTGTCCACTAGTAAACCACTGTTCTGTGCCGATGTTGTAGTTGTTCCGTTGGTTTTCTTAATACAGTAAAAGTATTTTACCACTGAAAGGGAACCGTTTGTTACTAAGTTGTAATCTCGACACACTAACAGGTGTGATGAGTGACGTCTGTATGCCTTATTTCAGTTCAAATGAGGCAAGTAATCCAAGACTACAGTAAGTGTGTAACCTCGACGCAGTAAAAGCCCAAACGTCTTTAGTAGGTTGTTTTTTTTTTTATGTAAATCTCTGTTGCCTAGCAAAATGTGTCCAAATCCAAATAAAGCAATAAATCCAGAGTGATTGTTTGCAACATATTTCCTCCAACAGGCCTGAGCTTCAGGTGGAATAACGTCAAAGTCGGAGGTTTACTTACGAAGAGGATCGACCTGATACCAAAATAAGAGCACTAAGAGCTGAAGCTGCTTTGCTAAAGTAATAACTTGATTTCTCCTCTGTCAGCTGTCTTAAACTTAAGTGAGCTTAAGCTTGTTTCTTTACTGCTGCACAATCAAATCAGAGTTTTATGGTACTGCTGAAGTGCTGAAATATAACTTACCGTAAAACTCCAGTTAATAGCCCGGGCTTTTATTTGCTTAAATCGGTGAGCTCACCCTGTGGTCCATTTTGACAAAGGTTTAAACATTTAAGCAGTAAAACTAAGCCTAGCTCAAACAGACCCGGTGGGCTTTAACTTAAAGGTTTTATACATCCAAAGAACTTATATAAAACCCAGACCAGGCTTCTAATTGAGACGGGTTTATTTGTCTAAATGTGCAGCCACACCAGTGTAAGGGACAGGCGTCTAACTGGTACTAGACTTTTACTTAAAGTTTTACTGTAATACACATATATTGTATTTAAATATACGGAACCCTGAATGTGTTGCAATGCCCACTAGAGTCCCCAAATTCCACATTGAGTTCGGCATCGACACACATACACACACTATCAGGAGGCTCTTCATATTGCAAGAATCCAAATGTTGCAGGAAGAATGCAACAGTGTTGGGGAAGAAATAGGGAAATTGAACTTGTTGAAAGGAAAGTGTTCTGTGTTTCAGACGGCAGATAAACTTGTCACATGTCAGGAAAAATGCTGTGTTGATTCGGTTGATTCAGTTCAGACAAACGCACACAGGACTTTAAAGAGCTTTTATATTTATAATTCATCAGTGTTACATCAGAGTTATCCCCTTCTTTCAGCTACTGATACTTACTTGTGTGTGACGTCCAAATTAATCTGAAAAACGGGGTCAGTCTGCAAAACAACAATTAGCCTTTCTAGTAGGATTCTTTCCCAAAAGCGGAGGAGAACAGGATTTCCCACAGTACATGAATGCAGCGTCACACCTCAGCGTGTCCTCCCTTGTGTTCGCTCTCACGCTCCTCCGTCAGTTGGATTTGGGGAGTCTGTAGACGCCTGTGGAGAAGATCAGCTGATGCTCCCTGACCTTCCTCTGCAGGAAGGCCTCCAGCTCGTTCACATCCATCTCCGTGACGACGGGTCCTGTGGCGACGAACATCCGGAGCATGGAGTGGATGCGCTCCAGCGTCATGCTGTCCAGGTTGGTGAGCATGGCCTGGATGTAGGCCCAGAACAACTGCAGAGATGAAGGATTATGTTTTAAGATGCTTCCTCAGGTGGTCACGTTTCATCTTGTTTACTGTGTTGCGATGTGTTTGTTTGTGTGTGTTTGTTTTGGGCACCTGCAGCTTCTCCTCCCTCTGCTCAGACTGGGTGGTGGTGTTGGAGTCCCTCTCCTCGTCGCTGTCGATCAGCATCACGCCTCTCTCCAGCTTCTCTTTGGACGAGCCCGTCTCCACCACGTAGTAGCGCCCTCCCGCCTCCTCCCTCAGCACGCCGTGCTGCTGCCACAGAGCCAGCTTCCTGTGCACCAGCTCCTTCGGGGCGCCCAGCTTCCCGCTCAGCTCCTCCAGCGTCCATGAACCTGAACAAAAAGGCTACCAGTCAGATCAGTGCTGTCCAGCTCTGATGTGGCCATTTGCCTGTCAACTCGATCGTGTTTTCTCTTCAAACCTGCCAGCAGCTACTCTTTGACAAGTAAAATTCCTTTGTTTTGTTTAGTTTTCCTTTTTTTTATCTTAGCCAATATGCCGCATTCAGTCTTTCATACTGTACAAACGTTTGTGACCGAACTCCTCAGGTCAGGATGGACAGCTGGTTTGAAAGTACACCAGAGTAGAGGAACCACCTCTCAACAGGGTACAACATTTGGCCTCATGTCACAAATGCCAGCTACGATCGTTCAGACTTGACCTTGGGTGACTCTAACGGCGGTCGTTACAGCAGCCAGGAGCACTAATGAACCCGGCGGTGACCATTAGGGCTGGGGCGATTCGTCGACGTAATAGATTACGTAAATATGTCGACTCATTGCATTACGTTGGTCAAAGCGTCGCTGCGTCCGGTGTTATCAGGGATTCCCCCGGACAAGCTCCAGCTACAGGACCTCGCCTTTGACCGTCTAAAGTTTGATTTTAGACAGACACTCGACAACGTGCTGCTCCGTGAGCTCTGTGACCTGGAAACCGCTTCACTGCAGCACAGCTGCTGTCCATGAACACGTGAAGCGAAAGTATCCCGGCGCTCTGACGGCACCACCGCAAATCGTGGGTTACTTTCCGTCTCCACACAAGCGCGGCACATTATGAGCACGAGGACAGGTAGTCCGTTCTTTCTCGCCTTCATGTTAAAAGTAATTTCTGCCCGCTGCTGTCATGGTAACGTAATGTTACAACGTGTGTCATCTAACGTTCAGCCGTTTCATATTTTCTGTTTATTAAATTTTATTCATTGTCATTATTCTAATGTGCTTCATCAGGATGATTGATTAGACATGTTTTTGATATTTATTTATATTTTATTTATTTATAATTGTTAGATTAATTGACTTGAAAAATAATCGTTATGTACAGCCCTAGTGTCCATCACTTTGATAACGACCCCACAGAGGTTAAACAGCAGGGATTAGCCAAAATGTTAAGTTTAAACATAGAATATCTGCAGGAAAACAAACCATAACATGAACTTAAAAGACTGTACTTTTTTCCTGGAAGTGCAGGATGATGGCCGCGTGGATGGGCGAGACGGTGAGATTGGTGAGGGTGCGGTCCTCCAGCTCCACGTCCAGAGTGACTGAGCCCAGGTGGGGCTTCCAGCTCAGCGTCCTCATGGCCTGAAACAGAGAAGACAAGCTGCTGTTAACATCTGTTCACACACAAAAGCTTCGCTCGCACCCGTCAAACTGTTTAGACGTTATATTTACAGACACAAATCAGCGATGACACGTGTAAAGTTTTTTGCCGGCTGATAGAAAAGACTGGGGAGATGTGATATGCAAAATGTTTTAATCCAGACCAGCACAGGAACGGGTGTTTTGTGATGTCTGAAATAATGAAAAATAAATAATAATAATAATAATAATGTACCGAAACAAATAAGCTTTACGCTACGGATGCACTGAAATGAATATTTTTGGCCCAAAGCCGAAACTGAATATAATGAAAATATTTGCCTACTACCAAACAGGTAAATTTTTATACATTTTTATTTTTTACCATTGCATAAATTAAATAGTCAAAATGTGCTTTTTACTCAGTGTCCGGTAAAGTAAATTACATGAGTCCATTTACTTTTAATGGACACATGTAATATGTTTTATACTTTCTGTGAATATAATCCAATTAATCTTATTTCCATCCTGAGTAGAAACCTTATTTTGAAAACCGGACGTTGTCACATGTGTATCCTCGCGCTAAATTCATCAAGTCGGACCCAGTTTGATAAATACTGTTGTATGTGGTTCTCGTACGGCGTAACATGAAGACTTCACAGCCTCTCTTCAGGCAGGACTCTCATACTGCAACACTTGTCTTTGTAAAGAGACAAACTGACAGGATAAAGTCTCTAACCTGCCTGTCAGCTCGAACTGGTCCGTTTCAGTGGATTTACCATAAAGGTTTGAATACGTGTGCACTCCAAATTTAGGTGCGGCTAGCTTAATGGCCTTCTCATAAACAAGTGACAGAAACACTCAAAGCGGGTCAGACCTTTTCTAAGAAGTCAGCCACAGATGGAGTGGATGTGCTGGGAGACAATTCAGGAGGACACTTTAAAATGCTTCCACACTGCCGACATGTTGATGTAATTGGTCAGTAAAATTTATGCGGTCTTTTGACTTATTAGACCGAACACCGAAAGTGCTTTTAGTGCTATTTTCGTCTGATTAATTTCGGTGGCTGAATATTCGGTGCATCCCTACTATACATAAGACGAGTCAGACAGCGGGGTGTGAGGTTTTTGGAAATAAAAGTACAAATAAGGAAAAATAATAAAGATTTCAAGGACAATATTTACTACAGAAGGAAGAGTTGCATTCATGAGCTGCCCTGTGGTTGTCTCAAAATTTAATCCAGATAACAAGAAATTAGCAAACACGTAAACTGAAAACAATCCGATGTGCGACTAGTTGTTTCTTACATTTAAAATGTTGCCGTCAACTCTAAAACCTCAGCTGTCGTAGAGCCCTTGAATGCACTGCAACTGTTAACGCAGGGAATCATCAGAGGCTTTACGATACGATGTTATCACGATGCAATGCATTATTGCGATTTTCTGCAATATGCGGTTTTACCTTTTTTTCCAACTTCACATTATGTCTACAAAGAAAAACTTTGTCAAAATCTGTTTTATCTAAAAAGATAAATTGCTCTGTTTGATTGTCTCACTTTCACTGGAGCTGACTTAACATTTGCGTTACCATCATCTTCTCAGTTATTTACTTTCATACAACACTATCTTTCTCCATTGTGCCCTCCTCCTTAAAAAATCCGTCTAGCATTTGATTTAAATGCGGACGGTGCCTTCCTGATTTCTTTCTCTGATGCCGCCATCTTTATTTTACTCACTTCCTCCTGCACGCTGACTGAAAAAGCTATTTATTTTATTTCCCTCATGTGCAATTTATATAATAAAAGATTGATTGGCGTTGGGGCTGAGCAATAAATAAATAACTATAGTTATATGGACAAAATAACAATATAACAAATGTTAATTAATTAATTTAAATAAGCACTAAAGTGGAGGAAAAGGGAATGAAATACGATTTTACTTAATTTTAGTTGTGCATATTTGTTGAAAAAGAATTTATCAAATGTTTTGAATGCTCTGCCTCAGATTTGTTAATTAATCCACTGCATCAAGTGTTTGTTCTGACCACAATTAACAATCTGGTTTCTTCAACCATCACTCAGGAGCAAAAATCACAGTATTGCAGTATTGCCATGAAAAATATTGCAATTCTATCGTGCACTGATTTTTTTTACCCCACCCCTAATACCTATAACACAAAATAAAAGGTGATGACATGTTGACTGATTAATTTGCTGCATCTTCATGCAATATTATTTTAAAACTCTTTTTGAACGTACTACTCAAAAACAGATGTGAGTTAAACTGTGGAACACCTTGGACTATGAACTGAAGTGCTGCAAAAGTGTTTGTAAATTTAAGAATTTGTATAAGAAAAAAAATACAGGAATGTTGCAAGAAAAATTATGATAAATAGGCAGAAGAAAAAAAAAGATTTAAAAATGATGATAATTAAGTGTAAAGATAGGTATTACTGAAAATGTATGGTGATTGGGAATGGACTGGGGCTGATCCATTCATAAAGCAGCTGTTTTTCTGTTTCTTTTGATGTGCACAAAAAGCGACAGGTACTACAAGATTTTTCTTCTTCCTGTTCCTTTTTTTTTTTCGTTCATGGAAAAAAAATAAAAATATATGTGTTTATTGTTGGTCTGAAAAAAGAAAGCCGAACAAAATGTTGTAAAACGGCATGAACGAAATAAATAAATACATTTAAAAAAAAACTTAATTTCAGCAATTGACTAAAAAGCGATCGCAATTCTAAACCAAAAAATCTAAAACATGCCCTCCCTGGTGCAACCGTGCCCTCCAAACAAAACCAACAGATTGGTGTTAAGCAGCAGGTGAGCTCCACCTTGAGCTTCTCGTAGCGGTGCGTGTAGGCCTCCATCGCCTGGCAGACGAGCGGAGGGAGTTCCAGCTTCTCCTCCTTCAGCGGAGGCCAGAACTCAGAGGACAGGATGATGGACGACAGCGACAGCGGCGGCTGCTCCTCCTCGCTCAGCCTCGATTCCTCCTCGCGGATGTTACTGTTGATCCTCCGAGAGTCCGCCATGTCCTGGACAGGAGGCGGAAGGAAGGAATGTGTGAGTAGGGCATTAATCTAGCTAAACTCAACTAAAATAGAGAAGCAGTGTTCAGTTTTTGTGTCCCATCTGTGTCCCATGCATCTGGAACAAAGACTAATTCATTCATTTGTCAATGCCTTTTATGTTTTATGTAAAGCATTTTAAATGTGCTTTACTAATAAACTTCCATCCATCTTCAACCACTTATCCAGGGTCGGGTCGCGGGGGCTCCAGCAGGGGACCCCAAACCTATGATTCTTTTAAACTTGCCTTGTTTTACTATTTTTTAGATTAACCGATCAATGCTTGGGTCACAATTTCCCAGACATTTAATATGTCTGAACTGAACTGTTTCACGGGGACTGTCCATCCATCGTCAACCTGGAGCCAATCCCAGCTTACATTGGGCGAAAGGCGGGGTACACATAGACAAACAACCACTCACACTCACATCCACACCTAAGGACAATTTTGGAGACACCAATTAACCTAGGCTGCATGTCTTTGGATGGTGGGAGGAATCCGGACACGGGGAGAACACGCAAACGCCACAAAGAAATACCAGGGGAACTGGGGTTTGAATCCACGACCTTCTTGCTGTGAGGCGACAGTGCACCACTGCATCGGCCTTTCATGGGGACTAATGTGACATCGTGTCAGACGGTGTTTACCTTCAGCATGACCTCGCAGTAATGCATGTGAGACTCCCCAAACCTGAGCTTCAGCAGCTCCACGTTACGAATCTCCCTGCAAACACACAACGGAGGACAGAACGTCAGACGATGACATTTTGGACACAGCATAGGTGACCACAATCAGACACAAAATATAAAGCTCAACTCACCATTATACAGCTTTTACTTAGTTAGTTGAGTTATTTTAATTACCCGTTTACACATTGTAAGTACTTTGATAGACATTCAAGTCATAATCACTGTAGGAGTCAGTATGGGCAATGTTGTTCACTCCTTTTTGGTTGCCTACGGTTGTTGGGTCACTTGGTGGTGGTAGCAATTTGGGATATCACCTGATCACCAGTTAGCTTGGAGGAGAAAGGGGGGGGGTGATAGGGGAAAGCCTAAGTTTTGGTGACTCCAGTTCACCTTGTTTATTGCATTTTATGGACTTTATTGCTGTTGGATGCTTGTTTAATATACCTGTGAACTGTTTGGACCTTGTGGATGTTGATGATTCTTGGACAGTCAGCAGCCCATCGGGCAGGTAAGTCTCCCAACTCTCTGGGCAATTTACTTTTTTTTTTGAAAGAGGTGGTATTCTGCTCATTTCCAGGTTCAAAATCTTATTTAGGGGCTGAACCAGAACAGGTTTACATTTTTGTCAGACTGCACGTTGCTGCAGCTCCTCTTTTCACCCTGTTGAAGGCTTCGTTTTAGCTATGGAGTGATACATCTTGTCTCTAAATGATCTTTGTTGGCAGTTGCACATGCGCAGTTCCTAGTTACGGACTACTAGCCAATCAGAAGCAGAGAAGGGCAGGTCAGCGAGAAGCCGGTAAACAGCTTCAATTCAGCTACATGTTGCCGACCAGCTTGGCAACATGGACTGGAGCGAGAGTTCCAGAGTGGTGAGTTATTAATCTGTAACAAAAGTATCTTTCATCCATAAAGTTTTAACTGAGCTTTGGGCTTTTTCACTGTTAAACCAACCTGTTAAATGCACAAAAAAGGTAAGGTAGAGGGAAAAAGGCAAAAAGCATAATACCATCTCTTTAAGACAGTGGCCTAAAATGAATGCAAAAAAAAACACGGATGTCTCACGTCAGCTAAAGTTCTGCATTCAAGGCAATTAAACCCAAATTTAATGGTTAGGGCGCAGTACTGTTAGTGCACAGAATAGTCACATGACCAACTCTGTAGTCGTACAGCTGGGAAAGTCCTAAACATGGGAATATTTACTATCTCTCCCAACATAACGTGAACGCAGCACCAGAATCTGATTAGATGTTTCTTACAGGGACTCTTATTTGAATTCTCTGTGACTGTAGACTTGCGTATATTTTACTTTCTTCAATTTGTCAGCATTTTCTACCACATTGTCTTGTTGGTTCGGCTTCGTGAAGGTGCAGGAGATGAAAATGCTCCAACCCTGAACAGCTGAGGAAACCGGCCTGCTCTGCTCCATGACTCTCTATGGTGTCTCTTTGTGTATTTGATTATATGCATGGAGAGTATAGAAAAGAAACCCTGAACCTTTTGTACCTGGCAGTGTTGTAGTTGAGTTGGTGCAACAGTCTGTCGGCCAGCACGGCTCTGTATTCATCTATGAAGATGTCCTTGCTGCCGTAGATACTGACCAGCAGGCTGATGATGTCCGACGATCGACGCTTCGAGCCCATCTTATCTGGAAAAAAACACCAGACTCTCAGTAAAACACAAACCCAAACAGCGGATCATGAATATAGGCTGTAGCAATAACAAGTCATATGTTTACTGACCGGGGACGGCGTCGGTGGGGTCTGGAGTCCAGTCCTCTGGGTCGTTGCCTTCTTCGTCGCTGTCCTGCATCTCCAGAGTCACCGGGTCTCCTCTGGACAGCTCGGAGGCCAAGTCTGTGCAGCCCTCAGCGTCTCCTGTCAAGCCGGCTACAATCTGCCTCACTGTGTCCTCCCGAGTCCTTAAACACACCACAGAAGCTTCAACAAAACTCAACTCTAGTAGTGATTAAAATAATGGTTATAAAAAGTAGCAGCTTCCTTATTTTATCCGTTTTGTTTTTATCGACTCTCTTCGTTGTCAAGTTTCAAGCTGCATATTTTATTTTTCATTCATTTGTGCCGTTAAGTGCTCCATAATCTTTGTTTAAATAAAGTTTGTTACCAACTGATGTCAAACTACAAACAACTCAGAGATATCAGCAAGAAAACATTTAGACTTCATATCAAGCAGGATTATAGAAACGTTATCCTACTGTAAAAGTTCAATTAAAAGCTAAGTCCCACCAGCGGCCTGTTGTGGCTACAGGTTTGACAAATAAACGCAGGGCTCGATTAGAAGCCTGCTCTGCTTTTTATAGAAGTTCATATGGATGCATAAAACCTCTGAAAGCCCACCAGGTCGCCTGCTTGAAATGCATCTAAGATGCTTAGATCACGCTTACAAGATAAGTCAGATTCAGTCGTTAGTATATATTACATATTGCTGTATAATAGTTTATTTTACGAGAACGATGAGAACCAAAGTATAATTCATTCAGATTTACTGGCATGAGACATTAAACGAGAGATGAAAAAGAAGTTGTGACTCGGTAGCCTCCTTTTTATTAAGTAATATTCCTGCTAATTAAAATTAACAATTTGATAGCAGCCAATTTCACATCTTTGCTGAGCAAAGAGTTTTGTGTGAAATGAATTAAAGGCCTGTCCCAAATACAGGTGAGTTCAGAGATTAAACTCACCTTGGCTGTTATTTGAATTTTTACGGTATATTGAAAATAATGTTTTAAAAAACAAGTATATACAGTATTAAGTATATGTTGACTCACCTCAGGTACTTGCGGATTGGTTGGCAGGCAACCTGCAGGATGACCATGGATGGGTCCAGCTCTCTGAGGGCCTTGATGGCGGAGATGTAAACCGTGAGGATGTCAGACGTGTGAACTCCTGAAAGTGGACGGTACGACAAATACTGAGGATAATTAAATCTCAATTCAACATCTTGCTGTGCTGTGTTACTACTTAAACAAATGCTGCGCTGTCCTCGGCCCCCGGCGGCCGACTCACCTGGATGCAGCAGACGGCTCTCAAAAGCAGATTTGAGTGAGGTGAGGAGCTGCTGTCTCTGGTTGGTTCTTTCCAGACAAAACTTCAGATCTTCAATGGCAGCTTTAGATTCTGGGAAATCTGAGAGAGAGGTGAAACGTGAAAATAATCCCATGAAAATCAGGCAGCCAATAGCATTTCTGCTCTTAACTCAACTACAGTTACATGATTTTGGGTGGACAAGTCACCCGCCTGCAGGCTCATCTCTGTGCAGGACGTATTTAGCCTAGCTTAGCACAAAGACTAGAAGCAGATGGAAACTTCTAGCCTAGCACTGTCAAATGTGAAAATATACTCCTTCCAAAATTTAGGCATTTTACTTGAAGACAAAATCTTCAGGACACGCCGTCTTCTCTCTCACCTCTGATAATACTGAAGAGCTCCTCGATCCTCATGTTGACGTAGATCCTGCAGAAGAACTGGTGCATGTGGCATCTCCACTGCTTCAGGACGGAGCTGGTGGCGTGGCCCGTCTGGACGCTGGGAACACCGGGAGCAGATACCAGACCGTCTCCGTCCGCTTCGCTTGCAAACACTTTGCTCAGCCAGCCCAGCACCAGCTCCAGCCACTGCTCACAAGAAACGCAACGTGCTTAAAATAACAAAGACGCCACGCAGTTAAGCGTTTTGTGATCACGGACAGACGGACGGATGTTTTACCTTCTGGAACTCCAGCAGGAAAGAGCGTTCGTATTCTCCCCTGCAGTGCTGCTCCATTCGCTGCTCGATGAGCCTGTGGAGGATGGAGGTGACGGCCTCGGAGCTGACCCACTCCAGCAACTGTAGTTTGGAACTACAACCGCATAAAAATGAAAAATAACCTTCAACCAGTCATCCTCATATGAAGTACATACATAACATGTACCTAGTGCTGGGCAATAAAACAATATGGTCTACAACGATAAAAAAATCTTTTGTATTTTCACAAATAGAATTAAGGTTTCACAAATCTGAAATGATGATTTAAAGAAACTTTAGCCTCTCTGTAATAACCTAGTCCAGTTTGACAGCTCTAGGAATAGTGGTTTTTGATTTGGACCTGGTTTAAGTTGGTCTACATGCAAAAAACCAACAACATATAAATCATCGTATACGATATGAAACTTTTTAGGGAGTATTTGAGGCATGCAGTGAGGCTCTCTGATGGGTTTAATAGTTTCTGGAAGGAGCTCCAGAAAGAGATCATGCTGTGAGACACACACTGGAGAAATATTTATTACTCCATTTATTGTTATTTTGTTTGGTTTAAGGAGAGGAAACACTCTGAGTGTAAGATGTTACATGTAAAAATATAAATGCAAACTGGTTCAAACTGGGTGACCTTAAATAACCAAATAATGTTGTCTACTATCAAATTAAATTCAATATTTTCATGGATAGTTTATTAAATCACTTTTCTGTTCATATAGCTTACTCTGATTTTAGCTAATTCGACTCCTTTGTTATGTAAGTGTAATTTTATTCTTATAGTAATCTGAATGTTATTGCAACATGCAGCTGTCTGTTTTGGTTTTATGTAACCTTGTGGTTGCTATTCTCACAGTTAATTTTAAAGCTTGTTTAATCTAATTCAGATCTCTGGTTTTGGTCTCCACTCCTGCCAGAAATATGTATCTGGCTCTTTAGCTGCTAAATGCGCCACTTTCATCGCCTGCTGACGTGCTGAGCAGGTCGTGTACAGTGTTTATCAGTTGGTTTATCAGAGCTTTTCTGCAGCTGGCCTGCAACACTGAGATGAACCAGACAGTAAATGTTGCGGCAAAACCAAACCGAAGGTCTAAAAGAGGCTAAAACTCTGAGGGGAAACTGCAGTTAGTGATAAATCTTTGTGGGTTCATCGCTCTGACTAACCCACTTTTATTACACATAAGTTATTTGATCAACTGTTAATATAAAAGTATGGATTAGTGCAGCAGAGGGTATTGACAAAAGACGAATAGCACCCCATTATAGATATTGGATAAGTTATAAATTAAAAAGATTACTAACGGGTGTGTGGAAACAGTTTGAAAATGGTCAGCAGGATGTTATTTTCACTGTTCACTCACAGTATGTGGCTAAACTCCTGCAGTTGCTCCAGGGCCTCCTGACACCAGCACTGCTGTGTCGGGACCCCGCATCCCCGACAGACCCCTCTCTCCGGGCCGTCTGGAACCTCGGCCCCGTCTTCTGCCTCCCCCACCTGGTTCATATAGACAGAGAAGGTCCTGCTGTAAAACTCCAGCACTCGCTCTTGGAGAACAGGGGAGGGGGAGAAGAGGAGGAGGGCCCTGATGATGGTGAAGGCCCGCTCCTGGAGGCCCTTTGGCCCCGGGCCACAGAGACTGCCACGGCCCTCGTCTTGCCACGTCCCCAGCCTCTCCAAACCACCTAAGAAGAGGAAGAGGGGGTGTTTGAATATTGTTGATGTAAACAAAGAAAACCAGCAGTGAACTTAGCGACGCATAACATTTTTTCTCTACTTGCCCAGGAAAGGTTCCAGCCGGCCCAACAGAGTCTGGAAGGCGGTGAGGAGAACCCAGGCCCTGCCTCTCTCCTCCAGCTCGTTCTCCGGCTGTTTGAGTCCGGACCAGAACTCGGGAACCACAGAGGAGGACAAACGCATCTGTAGAGTCTCCAGCAGCCAGCTACCCAGCAGCCGGCCCAGACCCTGACTGCACAGCAGGGCCAATGATTCAGAGAGAGGTCCTGCTCCGTCACCGAGCAGCCAGGAGACATCTTCAGAAGAAAAGCAGGACACTTAAAACTAAAAAAGCTTGTCAGCGCTTGGGTTGGTGGACAAAAAATTTAATGTAGACACTATTTCTAGATTTATGTCTTGTTTCTTACATCAGTATCTATAAGTCTACAATAAGACAATATTGGTTGATCTGATTTTGCGTAGTTTCCTGTCAGACAACTCAGTCAGTACTCAGAAAAATAAAATAAAAACAGATACAAATGTTCCTTTACACCCACGGAAATTAATGCCCTAAATTTGCACTGAGCTTGAGCTGCTGCTCAAAAACGATAGATTGTTGAGGCTACCTTTTAACTCTTTGAGTACTTTTAGACGAACAAAAGAGGTTGTATATAACGGCTGTCCTTGTCTTTGTTTATGCCTCATGTAGGTTTGTTTTAACCCTATAGCAAATCAAATTTCCCCTTGTGGGACAATAAAGATTGAACTTGAACTAGTTTCCTGACAGACAACTCAGTCAGTACTCAAAAGATATATTGAAATGTGGTCTTCAGTTCTCAACAGAGGCCCCTTTATAGTTACTTTTAATTCTCCACAGCTGGTCTCTGTTCTACAAGCCTGGATTACCAAAAAAATGCACACAGGATAGAAAATGGTTGGTGACACTTTTCAAAGTGCGTTTGCCAGGGATGGATTAGAGTTGACTTTAACTCCAGACCTGGACTGACTCAGACTGAACTGTCCTTGGTCTTGGACTCTTTTATTCAAGTCTACTGGTCTTGAATACAGTATTGTACAGTATAAGTTTATCAGGAGGAGACTGACAACTTGAATGAATTGTTAGCTAACAGCTAAGTTAGCTAACAGAGTAGAACACAGACAGATAAAAATAAGTCGAAGACAGCGTTATATGTATGCCGAATTTAACCGAATACCCCTACTAATTCTTTCGCTGTCCTACATCATGTCCAACTGGGTATGAACCATTGCTACAAGCAAGAAAACATAAAATCATAAAATATTTGAATGGAATTCGGCGCATTCGCTTCACTCCATGTTCGCGTCTTGAGTCCACTGATAGAGCCTACTTACCAAAGCAGCAGTGACAGTCTCCCAAGCATCGGATACCCCTAGTTGTGATGCAGGTCCCGATGTTTCTGCTGACTCCGAGTCCATCACCATCTCCTCCATTTTTTAAGACTTTCCTCACAAATGACGAACTAACGTTAGCTTGTGTGAATTAAACATTTAAATCTCTGATTGTTTCTGCCGTGTTATAACATCACACGCGTCTATGTGCAAGTAACGTTACGCATTATGTCTTAGATGCGTTTATATTAATGTATAAAAACTGTTCATATCAGTAAAAACATTCTGTTGTTACTTTGAAATAACATTGCGGGTTCTTGCTTGTGTATCGCGGGTCTTCTTCTTCGTCGACTTTTTACAATGAGTTTCCGGCAAACTGTGGCCAACTCTGCCCTCTACAGTGAAACAGATCAAAAACCACTACCTAGAGCTGTCAAATCCAGACTAGATTAATTAGATTAATACAGAGAGGCTAAAGTTTCTTTAAAATATCATTTCAGATTTGTGAAACCTTTATTCTGCTTGTAAAAATGCATAAAAGGATGAATTATATGTTGTTGTTCTTAAAACCAGGTCCAGATCAAAAACCACTATTCCTAGAGCTGTCAAACTGGACTAGATATTACAGAGAGGCTAAAGTTTCTTTAAATCATCATTTCAGATTTGTGAAACCTTTATTCTATTTGTGAAAATGCAAAAAAGGATGATTTGTTGTTTTTTTATCATGTAGACCACATTAAACCAGGTTCAGATCAAAACCCGCTATGCGTAGCTGTCACATATGGACTAGAATGTCCCAGAGAAGCTTAAAGTTCCTTTAAATCATCATTTCAGATTTGTGAAACCTTTATTCTGCTTGTAAAAATGCATAAAAGGATGAATTATATGTTGTTCTTCTTTTGCATGTAGACCAACTTAAACCAGGTCCAGATCAAAAACCACTATTCCTAGAGCTCTCAAACTGGACTAGATATTACAAAGAGGCTAAAGTTTTTTTAAATCATCATTTCAGATTTGTGAAACCTTTATTCTATTTGTGAAAATGCAAAAAAAAAAAAGTGTGCTTTATATGTTATTTTCTAGACCACATTAAACCAGGTCCAGATCATGAAGCACTATGCCTAGAGCTGTCACATATGGACCAGAATGTCAAGTCAGGTCAGGTTTTATTTAAAGTGCAAAATCACCAAAAGACATGGTCCCAATACACTTTACAAAATACATTGAAATTAACCATAAAATACAGAATGCATGTAACAAAACACATAATAAAATACAATGAGAATAAAATCAACTAAATAAAACGATAAAATTTAATAATAATTTATAGTTTGCTCAACCCTGTCCTACTAAAAGCTTTATTAAACAGAAAAGTCTCAAGTCTAGCCTTAAAAGTGGTGATGTTATCTGATTCCCGCACCCAAATTGGAACCTGTTTCCACAGAGAAGCAAAATTTCAGATTTGTTAAACCTTTATTCTATTTGTGAAAATACAAAGAAGGATTATTTATGTTTGTTTTTTTAGCATGTCGACCACATTAAACCAAGTCCAAACAAAAACAATTATGCCTAGAGCTGTCAAATCTAGATCATTTCTGAGAGGCTAAATTTTATTTAAAACATCATTTCAGGTTTGTGAAACGATTATTGTATTTGTGAAAATAAATAAAAGGCGAAGCAGGAAGCAGACGTAACGTGGTCAGTTTGTGGTTGCGTAGTTACGCGGTTACGTAATACTTTCGGCCGCGGCGGTGGGCAGGAGCAGACAGCTACTAGCGGCTCGCACAGAAACAGCATCATGGCAGCGGAGTGCGAGTGAGTTTATTGACGGCATGTCTGAATTTTTCCCTCAAACACAAGTCCTGGTAGCCAGTGTTATAGGTCTACAGCTCTTCTACACAGCGACGGCCGCTGAGTGAAATCTGATTAA